AAGAAGGCTCGGGCGAAGGACTCACAAGTTTCCAGGGGTCCCAACTCAACATCGAATTCGTCAAAATCGCACAACTGTTCCCACAAGGTTTTTGGGCGGGAGCGAGGGACCAGTTGAGGAATAAGATCTGTGACTAGAACCAAGAGTTGTAAGATTCCTTCGGAAAGTCGATTTGCTGCTACGAGCCGACGACATGGATCATCATCAGGAGATCTTAATCTTAAAGGTCTAATCTTTATTTTTCAACAAAATACACGGCAAATACACAGAGCTGACACTAAACTTTAATCCTCATGTCAGGGGAACAGACGCTGAGGGACAGGTGAAAGTGCAGCATTAATCGTGCGTGCATGGGAGGAAAGTGCAGCAGCAATCGCGCGTGCACGGGAGTGGGATGCTGCAGTAATCGTGCGAGCACGGGAGCGGGATGCTGCAGTAATCGTGCGAACATAGGAAAGTGCAGCAGTAATCGTGCGTGCACGGGAAGGAAGGGGATGAGAGCTCAGACGAGGGCAAAATCGAGAGGCGTCAGACTGGACCAGAGAACTGGCCGAACCCCTATCCTTTCTAAACATAGGAAAAACAAGGGAACGTGCATGAAGATGAAATCCTGAACTCTAGTGGTCAGGGATGAAAAGAGAGAGGGAACCCTTGAGTCGGCGCTCAGTCGGCTCTCTNGGGGGGGGGGGGGGGGGGGCGTCGGAGAAAGCCCGCGGTTGAGGCCTGGAACAAGGGAGAGCCACAGTGGGCTCGAACACTCCGCTTTCACAAGAATTGTGCAGGACAGAAACCTCAAAGATCCAGGTTACTAATTTCTTTCAGTCGCGTTCATTTTAATTTCCAAAGGAGCTTTTGTTTAGGACCTTGTTCCTTTTTGGGAGAGGGGGTCGTTGACTGAACCTCCGCCGCAGCTTCCGCCTGGCAGCATAGGGAACTCACCTGGAGAACCCTTAGGGGTAAGGTGGTTACTGTTTGTAGGCGATCGAAATAGTTCACACATGTTGGGGAAACTCCGCTTTCACTATAATTGTGAAGGATAGAAACCTCTAAGATCCAGGTTACTAATTTCTTTCTGTCGCACTCGGATAGACTTCCTGAGACGGGGTTTGCTCTCAACTCCTCTGTTAAGTTTTTATAGGCGATCAAAATAGTTAACACATGCTGGGAAAATGTCCGTTTCACAATCATTGTGCAGGATAGAAACCTCAAAGATCCAGGTTAATAATTTCTTTCTGTCGCGCTCGGATAGACTTCCTGAGATGGGGTTTGCGCTCAACTTATCAATTACTGCAGAAGCTAACGATATAAATTTGAAGAGCCACTTGAGAAGTAAAACAAATTAACTAATTACAAGCTTACTATCGTTCCTAGGTAATTTATCACCGAAATTATCACTTTGAATGTTAAACAGTATAACTCTCAAAGATATGAGGAACAATTCAATTTACCTAATGATACTATTTTAGTTTTGCTCTACTCGATTCCATCCCTTTTACATCATTCATCCTAAACAATAATACTACCATACTTAAATGAAGTTGAAGTGTGGCGAACTCATTTCTACAAATTTGACGGAAATTGTACGTCAATAGATCGCACAAGAGTCATTCTGCCAAAAGGAATTTCAACCGGAAGTGTAAGCAACGAATTCTCAAAGTCCGAAGTAAAAAAGCACGTTTCTCTAATTCGCGAGCTCGCGTCAGCCTCGGCATCAAAACTAAACGCTTCAATGATCTGCGCATAATACTACTTACCTGAGTATTTGTATAGAGACGTATACGAAATTATCTGTGAAGAAGATGACGCAAGGCTGTACGTTTTTTTTCACGTTAATATTACAGGCCAATTTATTTATTCAAACCAAATAACCAAAGGAAATACCGAAGTCGGTTTTTCGTGGGTGAAGGTTGTTTTCACTATACGGAGGCGCTAATTAATAAACACGAAAATAAGTATCCCTCTCTAAAGAAGGACCTAAGGAACGGGCAGGACCTAAAATCAATAGGCTTCCAATCAACTCCCCTCTCGTGAGAGTAAACCGACGACCTCTTATCGTTCTCGAAGAAGCAGCAGCGCCCCGATACGATATCAGAAGAGCATCGAGAGGAATAGGCGTGACCTTTTCAGAGCCGCAGCCTCCTCCATGCCTGTTCAGTGGCCCTCGCCACTCTTTCGGGGAGAGATAAACCTCAGCTGACCAATTCTTTAATTCAAGTGATCTTGCCTCTATTTGCCCTGATTACCCTTCATTAGAGCTCACAGTGAACGAATCATCCCCTTTGCTCCCTTGAAAAACTCCCCTTCAGTTCCCTAATCCCCTGGAGACTCCAAGTTCAAGGTCATGCCTGGGTCTCTCATGACCGTGGAAGGCTAAAGCTTCAACTATGACTTTATGAGCAAGAAAGTTGTATCATTTTTCATGTTCTTAAACTTTCATCAAAAACTTCTCTTAGTTTGCAACTTTTTTAAATCCTCAAACGCAACTATTTTTCTTACAAACGAATCCAACAAATGAACCAAAGTCCAACGACTGTGTCTTGAACTTAGTATCTACTAGTTCAATTTTTGACTGAACTTCATGCTTCACAAAGTCTACATTATGTCATGTTTTGAAAATAGACTGCTACGTACCCTTGTGGGTACTCGAAATCCTTGGTTTTTGTAATGTGTTTTCGGAATTTTCGGACATATGAATTCGTGACCTGCTATCCTCAACGAAATCGATTTCGTTTCTCTTTTTAATTTCACTGTTATGAGGATGAGTTTAGTGGAGATGATTCAACAATCTCTCATCGCGAAAATCTTTTTTTCTCCAGGTAGAAGGGCAAATAGGCTTGGGAGGGTCCATTAGGCCAGGGATTCTTTTTCTTCCCTGAAAACAAGATGTAACTATTAGAAGTATTTATCAAGTTCCCTGGACCCCATTACCAGAACCTTCAAATACCGTTTAAATTGTCAACTTCCTTTAAGTATTACCTTTAAAATTTAGTCATTGGTACATCCGAATCCATGGAATAATTCTGGCTGTGTTGGGATGTATTCAGGATCTATTTGCGTGGGGATGTACTCCGCGAGTGGGGCTGGAACCAAAGAGAAAAAATGTATTGTCGAACCCCTTGGAACATCATTTTAAGAGTAATGTTGTTGCAGGAAACCTACCAAAGTAGCTCCAACAAGTATCCGAAAACCATCAGACTTACCTAATGATTGACAGGGCGATAAACACGCACTAGCTGAGGGGCTCGTGAACGAGAACCGTTAAAAACTTTTAAAAATAAATAAATAATATAATTTTTTTTTTTTTTTGCACAAGTAAAATTAACAATGTACAATTCTAACAATCCTAGACATATTAAATGTCTTTAAAAGCTTATCTAATCTGCAAGTCAAACTTATCTATAATATACAATTTTAACAAAATAAACAATTTTAACTTTCAACATAAATTATACTACCTCTAAATATTGAGGAGGAAGAAAATTACAACAAATAATATAATATAAAATAAAACTTCCCCTGTGGGGGGATTTTGTATTCCGTGGAATGATTATCCAGGGGTTACGGGTTACATACGCAACATGTAACAATATCTGAGAATTTGTTGATGTCACGAATTCATAACAGTGATAGGTATTGTCGTTCCTGAAAGACTTCTTCCATGGCATAATGTTACGAATGTGTAACGAAGTAAAAAAACTTTACCAAGTAATTAAATGAGATTCCAGATAATTAAATTTTTTACTAACCACTGCTACCAAGTGTTGAAATCTGAAGTACCCGAGGATTTGAGGTTTTCACATATATGATAAGATTGGCAATAATGCCACTTGAACACTGGAAAGAAAACACATTGGATCTAGAGTCCAGACTCTTAAAAACACCGACGAGAAAAAATACTCTTGATTCAATCAGATTTAATCTTAAATGGACTGAGTTAAGCAGAAAGGAACCAACCCACATTTTGGAAATAATTGAGTTATGAGTGGTTTTGAACTCAACCACTGTTCTACTATCTATCGCCAAAAGTTCAAAGTTTTTGTTGGGGCAAATTTTGCAGAAATTGAACTTGAAGTTTAACTTTTACATTGAGTCTTATGCAGGAGCTAAACTTCAATTCTCTTTTTCTCGGTTCGATCCCGATGTGGCTTGGTTCCTTTCTGTTTAACTCTGTCCAAATCAAGAACCAAGCCTCTTAATTGGAGCGGATCTCCTTTTGATTTAAGCTTAAATCTATTTGAATCAAGAGTCCTTTTTCTTGTAAATGTTTTCTAGAGTTTGGACTCTAGAACCAATGTATTTTTTTTTCCTAGTGAAGGAGTAGATATCATAGTTTTCAGTGCGATTTGTGCCACCGGCCACCGGCCCAAAGTTATCCTCTCTGACAGTATGAATCAGCTATTGTTCTGAAATCCTCCTGATGTATCATTCAGTGGCGTGGCTTGAATTGCGATACATCGATTGTTATGCCATTTAAAACTATGGTAAAGAATCGATTATTAAGGTGTTCGCTGCGAACACCCTGTCTATCGACCCTTTTCCATATTTTTAAATGGTATACCAATCGATATATCGCAACTCACGCCACGCTACTGGTATCATTACCGTCTGCTTCTACAGCTGCGCGGCCTCCTTCCTTGCTGCCTGCTGGCGGCTGATTCCTGATGATTTCTGTGTGCCCTCCCACAGCGGCCGCGCGCTGCGTTGTTTTGTCGAACCCCTTGGAACATCATTTTAAGAGTGATGCTGTCGCAGGAAACGCGGAGCGGGTCGGTTGATCGATCGGCTCGGGAAGTGTGACCGTGCTCACACGTGAGGAGTAATCACTTCACCTGTTTGCTGTTTAATCTCGGCGCGGAACTTTCCTCGGCTGCAACGAAAATATCGGGAGAGCGGGCGCGAGCGCTGCGTGCTGCCTACGCGGTGCCCGGCAGGCGCTCCGAGCGTCGAGTCGCCGGCGCCCGACATCGCGCCGTCGCTGCGCGGCGCGGCAACCCGCCCGGCGTGCTCGGACACGCGGCTCGCGATCGTCGTCGACGCTTCAGTCGTCACGCCGCGATCCTCTCCGACGGCATGTGGACGCTTAAGTCCTTCCCGCGCCAAACGACGGAAATATTCTCGTCACGAGTCTTGTCACTCGGTGCGTCACGCTGAACTTCCTTCTCCGCGAACGCAGGGAATCTCGTCGTGTTAATTATGCGTGGATTTTGTTCGTTGTGAAACCTATTGTGAAACATTTTTTTTTGCTCCAGGAATCCTAAACTTGTAATTGACGAACCATTTGTGACGTTATAATTGAATCCACACGCTCGACCTCCGAACTCACGAGTTACCTCATTTTCCTCCTCTGAAAGTTCGAGCTCCTCTTGAATCCAGCGGATTTTTCCGGTTGATTCTTCTTTTCGTGAGTTTTTACGACGTCGAAAAAATTCTTCGTGATCTGTTTCATCGGCTCACGAGTTTTGTGATCGTTCGGAAGGTATCGCTTTGCTTTTCTTTTCGAAGTTGGTATTGCAAGGACGATTCGTGATGCAGCATGGTTTTAACTTTTAATCCAGCGACTGTTCAGTGAAGGTAAGGACCACCCTCAAAACACAAATTGTACGGTGTGCCTTCATCGTGAATATTGTAGTGCTGTATAGTATTTAGAACATTGTGTCTATGTCCGAACCTTTCAAATCTTTTTCCTGAATGTAAGGTCATCTTTGAGCTTAAATGGGTGATATTGCCGAGCAGCGCATGAATTATAAATAAGTTCAGGGAGTTTAATCCAAGTGTGCGCAGTAGACGTTGAATTCTTTTTCAAGAAGATGCGATTTAAGAAAAGAGTAAAAATAAGTTCAGGGAAATTGAAGTGTATGCAGGAGACGCCGAATTCTTTTTCAAGAAGATGCGATTTAAAACAAGAGAAAAAAAAAGAAGTACCGCTCTTGTGCGTTTGAAAGTTTCAATTTGGGCCGTATGCTGCCCGGCCATCTCTAGTGACCCGGGGCCCATTTGTAACCTTTTGACAATTCTTTCGATAAATGACGGTGCACTGGAAAAAAAACACTTTGAATGTAGAGTCCAGACTCTTAAAAACACCGACAAGAAAAAATACGCTTGATTCAATCGGATTTTTGCTTAAATCAAGAACCAGCGGATTTCCTTTTGATTTAAGCTTAAATCTGATTGAATCAAGAGTAGTTTTTCTCGTCAATGTTTTCAAGAGTCTGGACTCTACGTCCAATGTGTTTTTTGCCAGTGTGGGTTGAATTTATGATCATCAGTGGCGAGACGTGGATGATCGATGATCGATATTTTCTCATTTAAAGCTGTGGTAAAGAATCGACTACTAAGGTGTTAGTTGCGAACACCCTGTTAATCGATACTTCCGTAGGTTTAATTGGCAGATCAATCGATGAATCTCAAAGCACGCCACGCAACTGATGGTCATAATTATAGGTGTCACTGATAGCAACTGAAATACAACGCCGGAAATATAATTTCTGGGAGCTGAAACTTCGAACGCAAGAAACACTTACCTCGTGAATTCCTTCAGTTGGTGCGGAACTTTCCTTCCACCTACTAAACTGAGTGTTTTAAGCGTATATCGAGGATCTAGCGGCACTATACGATGTCATTGCGACTTCAGTGCTACTGACTAACTCACGAAGAGAAAATGAGGGGTAACGTTGTGAGACCGTCGATGGCAGTTCTCCCAAAAGGGAATAACATGCTTCTAGTTGTGCAGCCGGTCTAATCGCGCGTAGGTTCCAATACTTCGATACGTTACCAGTCAGTGTTGTCCGAATGTAATAGGCTTGTTCACCCTCACCTTCTTTCAATTTGTCTGGGCATCGCAGATTCTCTAACTCGTTCGAAGACAGGATCTCTGCACCACCTTGTCCGTTGAACTCAAGGGGTAAGCCAATATATTTAGAGTAGGCGTTAGCTAGGAACGCCTGTTTGGCGTTTATTCTATCGTAATCCGCCTGGAGATCGTTTACCATATCATACCCTGCTGGCATGAAGTCGTTAGGGTTCCTCAGAACTGGTGAATTTGGATTATTATTTTCGAACTCCCACCACGCAAACGGCAAAGGGCTGTGGTCGTAAAAGCGTTTTCTCTGTAAGGCTGGAGTATTAATATCAGCCAGAGCTTCGACTGTTCGGCGGAGATTCAAAAGATGGACATTCTCTGGACGAGGGACGCCATTGTGATGCTCATTTTTTGCGTAGGCATTAATGTAACGGCCCAGACAGTGCTCGTAGCAGACAGAGTGCCCGCAAGAGGAAAACTGCATTCTGAGAGTGTATTTATTCGTATACCCAGCAAATTAGGGCCCTTCCTCAACGATTGCGTTTCTTCTTGCAGCGGACGTGGTAGATCTCGGTAATTCGCCTCTTTGCCGCTGAATTTAAGGGGTTTCATCAGTAACAAGTTGCAATTTTCTCTCTGATAAACACATTTGTATGACTTGAATGTATTTCACCATAAGAAATTAATTCTTAGAAAGCCCCTTCAAACATGATATAAATGTCCTTTAGTAATCAGCTCTAGTTAACTTTTTCCACTGTTATTACTCTATAAACTATAACTAAGCTAGGACATCATCAGAAAACAGAAAAAAAACATTAACAGAACGCACACAGATACACACATTTGTATGATTTGAACGTATTTCACCATAAGAAATTAATTTCCACTGTTATTACTCTATAAACTATAACTAAGCTAGGACATCATCAGCGAATAGTTTTCGGGCCATATCTCTCGCTGTATACGATCATTTCGTAACATATCGATGCTGTCAGGTATGTAAGCGTCTGTCTGTGATAGATACAAATTTAATTTCAAGCCTGGTGCTTAATAAATATTTATTTCTCCAAAAGGCTTCACATTTGCAACCTCTTCCGCTATCCTTCACATAGCCGCAGCACGCAACGGGAGCGCGTGTGCCGTCAGAGAAACACTTAACAAAATTAAAACAACAACGCATCAGAGTTAGAATGCAACAAAATTAAAACTACAACGCATCAGAGTTATAATGCAACAAAATTAAAACTACAACGCATCAGAGTTAGAATGCAACAAAATTAAAACTACAACGCATCAGAGTTAGAATGCAACAAAATTAAAACTACAACGCATCAGAGTCAGAATGCCCACCCTCTCTGATGAAGAAGAAAAAAATAACTACGAGAAACATGAAGTAATCGTGCTTTGGAGAGGTATGGAAAGTAAGGGACGTAATGTTCGAATTTTCGTGACTTTTATCCTATCTAACATAATGAAAGTGTAAACTACGGCCGTTACTTGGCCTTCCAAGTTCAGGGATCGTAGGAGGTTTGAATCTTATGGAACTGCTCATGGGTTTAAAATTAATATGGGCCGGTTCGGCTATCATTACTAATATAATTCAGAAATTCAGCTAATTCAGAAATTACTAAAGTAACATAAGAAATACGCTAGTGTGCACCAGAAATGGTGAATGACAATACAACAACCATAGGGTCAGAAATGACCCCCAGTTTCCGGGGGAAAAAAAAAAACAAAAAAAAAAACTTTTTTTTTCATCGACATCAGTTTTGTGGTAAAATAACTACGGGAAAAACATAGGATGTCTACTTACATTGTTTTGTTTCTCGGAGACTATCGAGCAAGAATTTATTCTTAAAATGTCCTGTTTCTGCTGCCTGTCATCAATTCTGGGGAAAAGTTTCAGTTGATTATCATTGTTTTCTAATGAAACCAGTTTGAATGCATTGTCACTGATATTTTCAGTTATTCTGCACGGTCCGTTAAACAAACAATAAAATTTCTTTGTTTTGCCAGCCATGGCGTCGGAGAGGTGGTGAGTTTTTACAAGAATAATTTGTCCAGGGATAAACTCTTGCAGGACCAACTTAGCATCATATCTCGCTTTTCTCTTTTCGGCTCGTCAGGCCGTTCTTTTCTCAAGGGCTAAGCGCTGCTCCTCAAACTTTTGTTGCTTGTTGGACGGAAATGGCTTTTTAAGGAAATTAAATGGTTCTGTCTGCCTCACAATCTGAATCTGTGCAAAACCTGTGGTGTCGTTGATAGTATTGTTAATTGAATCTTCAATGAATTTTACCAAGTCAATCCACGTTCGGTGGTTTTTATGGCAATAGATGCGGAACATATTTCCTAGGATTCGCATATAACGCTCTACCGGATTTGACTGTGGATGATAAACTGAGCTATGGGTTGGAATGATGCCTGCTTAGCGCTGTTCCTCAAACTTTTGTTGCTTGTTGGATGGAAATTCAATGGTTTTTTTCAAGGAAATTAAATGGTTCTGTCTGCCTCACAGTCTGAATCGGTGCAAAACCTGTGGTGTCGTTGATAGTATTGTTAATTGAATCTTCAATGAACTTTACAAAGTCAATCCACGTTCAGTGGTTTTTATGGCAATAGATGCGGAACATATTTCCTAGGATTCGCATGTAACGCTCTACCGGATTTGACTGTGGATGATAAACCAATCGATGGGTTGGAATGGTGCCTGCTTTTTGAAGTCGATCATGCCAGTAATTTGATCTGAATGCTGGGCCGCGATCAGCCACAACACAGTCAGGTTTTCCAACATCTAATACATAATTATTTGACAATTTTCTGGTAACTAAGACACCGGTGCCATTTCTTAAAGGGTACAATTTTATGTACTTAGAATATAAATCAACCAGAACAAAAATTATTGAAAAATCTCTCTTGGAGACAGGTGGAGGGCCCAAAAGGTCTGCGGAGACTAGTCCGAGAAGTTTGTTTGAGATGATCGGTCTCAGTGGAGCATGAGAGGCTTTTACATTAACTTTGCATTTCTGGCAGAGGAGACGTTGACGCACAAATTTTCTAACTTCGTCTTCCATGTGAGGAAAAAATGCAAGACGTCTTAAATAATTATATGTTTTCTGAGCACCCAAATGGCCAATACAGTTATGCGCAGTTCTAATGATATCGGTTTCTGACATTTCGGGTGTACACAATCTCCAAGTACCTGAGTTATTAATATCTGTAAAAAGTAGTTCATTGTACAATTGAAACCTATCATGCGAGTTATTTGAAAATTTGGGATCTTTTGTTAACTTGCTCATCAGGTCATGCAATCTGTTTTTGTACAAAATTTTTTCCTAAATTTAGAGTGTCGTTAAACATCTGCGACTGCAAGGAAGAAACCATCAATTCAAGAGTGTTCGGAGGGAGATCATGTAAGTTGGGAGGATGTCGACTGAGTACATCCATGGCAATATTATCAGGTCATTTGACATGAATCCAAGAAAAATTGAATTCTTGTAAGTAAAGAGACCATCTGGACCACATTTTTCAAGAAGGATTTAATAGCATAGGAGTTTTGTCAAGATCGTGTAACTTTAAAGTTTCGAGTAATGTGGCTAAAGACTGATCATGAAATGAAACTGGGGTGATTCTCTTATGCATTCGTTTAAAATAGAAGACTCTGTCGCGTAAAGATTTTTCTTGCAGTATCCAAGAACTTGCACCAGGTCAGCAGCATTTCGAAGTCTGTCGTTCCCGCTAGCAAAATGAAGTGTAATAAATTGTGCGATGGCAT